TTCTTCTTCTTCTTCTTCTTCTTCTTCTTCTTCTTCTTCTTCTTCTTCTTCTTCTTCTTCTTCTTCTTCTTCTTCTCCCCCTCCCCCTCCCCCTCCTCCTCCTTCTTCTTTTGCATGTGTTGACTTTTTTGACCAGCCCCAGCCTCTCATGCTGTGGGTGCTTTGGATGAGTTCCACCGTGCTCTGATCTACAAGGTCATTTCTTCCGGCCATATGCCCAGAGGAGAGGCAGCCGGCCACCTTCACACCGTACACTCTTACCCATGAGATGGTCAGGGGCTTTTTCATTCGCAGCTGCTGATTCATTCCAGACAAATGGAGCACCCTAGAAAAAAATTGGGAAGTCCATAAACATCACAAACAGGCAGCCCGATTGCATGCACCCAACACTTTTTAAAAGATTTTTTTATCCCGCCTTTATTATTTTTATAAATAACTCAAGGGGGCAAACCTACCCAATACTCCTTCCTCCTCCTATTTTCCCCACAGCAACAACCCTGTGAGGTGGATTGGGCTGAGAGAGAGGGACTGGCCCAAAGCTGCGTCTTTAATTCACATGTTAAATGTGTTGTGCGAACAGGGTTACGGAGGGGAGCCATCCCAGACATGGGTCAATATTTGAAACGGTCATCTGTTAACCAGCGTGCAGTGTGAAGGATATGCAGAGAGATGACATTTATGCATCATGTTTAACCTGGCTATTTTCTGGATTCACGCAGGGTGGCACCCAAACCCACAAGAGGCCTAATCAAAGTAAATTCCGTGGTTTTGTGTGAGTGTGTGTGCAAAACAGTTTGAACCGTTTGGAAAATGGATGCTCACACATGGTCTGAGTGCCAAACAAGAGTTCTGGATGTGAAACAAGCTGTTCCAACCGTTTCAGGAATATTTCCACCTCAAAACAGAGTGTTTTGCATTTGGAACTTCTGCGGACCCGAAATGGAGCATTTTGAATTAGGGACGGTTCAGTTTTGAATTGCTTTGCCTGCAGCAGCTCCCTTCCCTGAGCTTTGAGTCTCCCCTCTCCTGTTTGCCACTCAGCCACTTTTTGGTGAGGCTCAGGCCGTCCTTCCTGGCTCCATTCCGCTTGGACCATCCGGGTATTCTGGATCGGGAGTCTTCAGGGGCATCGTCTACTTCCTTCCTCTGCCCGGAATTACCTGCTGATGGGTAAGGAGCCCCTGAGCCTCTCCCCAGGGATGGACCCTCTCCCTTGCCTGGCTAGTGGGAGATGGCTAGTTCAGGCGCTCTGCCCATCATATATTGAAGGCCACTTCTGTGTGGAACTGGAATTTGCTTTGCACTGATTTATTTCTGCTTTTAGAAAAATGAACTCTATCTTGGCTATTAGCCTTGAGAGCTCAATGAAATATCTCTGCGTATCTGGGCAGGAAGTATGATTACCAGCTGATGTGAGTGAGGAAACAGGGCCGGCATCGATATTTTTTGTATACCAAAAGCAGATGCTGGACTCACCAAGTTGATAAATTTAATCTGTCGATATGTTATTTTATTGGCAGAGTGAAGCCCGCACCAACAGCCACTTACAGTTATGTTAAATGCAACATTTCCAGATACGGAGAATTTCTTTGGCACCGATAAATCTTAGATATAGTTGCGCAAAGGGGAGGAAAAGGGAAATGTCTGGGGAGGAAAAAACTAAATGGAAGCTTTGTTTGATCAGTCAGATAGTAAATAAGTGACTCCAACCTGAAGCCCTCCAACAGTTTGGGGACTGCAATTCCCAGAATCCTTGGAGGGCAGTGCCAATGTATCTCAAGGCATCTGATTCGGGAAGGTTATAAAGCAGAGCAAACTTGCTCCTTTCCCCTTCCTATACAGTGAATTCATGAATTTGCCTGGCTGATATATCCTGGTCAAAGTAAAGTTGGTTCACCATTGCCTTCTTCCAGGATGTATTTTCAACTATCTAGCTGGTGGTATTTCCTGGTGGTCTCCCATCCAGTCCAACTCTGTTTAGCTTTGATGAGCTGGGCTTAATCTGTCTAAAATGGTAAAGCCCTCTGTTAATCCTGCTTGACTCCAGATTGTTGTTGTTGTTCTGGTCATTATGACTGACTTCGTAGACCCATCCGGGCAGTTTGCTCAGCAGGCGGGCGGAGAAGCTGTGGCACTGACTCCTCCCCGGCGCTCATATTAGCAATCACACCTGGAAGATGATGCTCCTGTACTGGGGGAATGGACGGCTGCTGGCGGATGCAAGAACCTTACAACAGCGCCCCTAGTGGTTACCTAGGGAACAGCAGCAGGATGTAACAGGCTGGGATTAAGGGTCGAGTTAGGGTTAGAGTTAGGGTTAGGGTTAGGGTTAGGGTTAGGGTTAGGAAACGCGGAGAAATGCATTTAGAAACGTTAGAAATGCAGGAAGGGAACAGAGCGGTGTTTCTCAACCTTGGCAACTTTAAGAGGTGTGGGCTTCTTAAAGGAGGGAGGGAGGAAGGAAGGAAAAGAGGGGGAGGAGGGAGGGGAGGGGAGATGAGAAGGGAAAGAAGGTAATCATTGGTAATCATTTGATCTATCTATTAAAGTTTGATCACTCTTTCCTGCCCTGAAAGCTTCTCTGTCACTGACAAGGAAATGGCCCTGGCGATTCCTGAGAGCCGCCCAGAGGTGAGGCTGACGCGGGGGACGGTTTCCCCTTTGGTGAAGACCACAGGGACGCTGTGCAGTGCGTGGTCTCTTCGCAAGCTTTGCTTTGTTTCCTCCAGAACTGAGGGGGGGATTCATGCCAGGAGACCCCCTCCTCACAACAACCCTGGAAGGTGGGCTGGGCTGGCCCGTGCCACCCTGCGAGCTTCCACGTCTGTGGGGGGCACGAACCTTTGCCCCTTCAACATCCAGCGCTGTGGTGAGCGCTGAGCTTCCTTGGCTGGGCTCGGGCGCCTTCCCCAGCCAGGACGTGTGCGAACGGCTTCGCTGGCTCTGGTGCAGCCGGCTCCCCCCGGCGCTGCACGGAGCCACAAACGCTGGCAGAGAAGCCCCCGGCAGGGTCCGCGGGGCTCCCTGCCCAGCCAAAGTCAGGCAAAGCGCCTTCTGGCCTGGTGCAGAGGGCGAGCCCCGAGGGGGGCCCCTT